CTGGACATTACAGGTCGACCATATGAGCGTCAATGAGAAGAAGATGGGACAAGAATGGCGTCATTGGAGGAAACCCCTTTCAAGACAGTGGTTCGAATATCCGTGCACCCGACAATCGAAGTATCCGGTCAGTGCAGTGCACCCGCAACCCCGGTGTTTCAACCCAGCAACTATTGATTCAAAAATGAAGCTTAAGGGTCCGCTCGGGGAGGAAAGAGTGGAGGGAACTGAGCCATGGCACGAGCAGGACCCTGGAACGCATGGAGAAGCTGAGTGATTAGCAGCTAGCTACTCCAGCTACTTACCTTTTATGTATTCCGGGAGCATGATCACCCATCACCATACTCGGAGCTATTCGGCCCTTGGGACTGACTGTATTCTACATAGCTTAGTAGTAACTCACCGAGATAACGAAAACAGAACTTGCATCCTAGACCTACTTAATATAGACACTGTTTCACAGCCCCTCTGTTCAGATACTAGCTACATAGTGCCAAACCAAAGTCCAACGCGCTCTTACCAACATGCTTTCATATCATTCAAGCTGCTACTACACGTAAATTTTCAACTATCATAGCTAGTACTCTACTACACGCATATCATCCGAAATCCCATACATACCAAAACTACTACCAAACGAAACAAGAACTTCAACTACTCCCTATCTTTCTGCCTTATCCCCCCTACCCAAAAAAGCGATGTCACTCTCTGATACAAAGCGTCCAGAATTTCTCCATTCATTGGTATTCGTGCCATGGGAACCCTTGACCCTGAAAAGTCCCTGACAGGTTTAAGCTCATGGCTAAGTACCATGGTGAAACAACTCCAGGTCTGGCCCGGCAGTTCGGTGCTTGCCGGACTGCCGAACCCTGTTCCTTGCGACCGAATGAATCAGTTTACTGCTACTAGTGGTGTCTTTTGAGGGAAATATCCTAGATGTAGTTTGGTTGCATGGTCGGTCTAGGAGTGTTGGTGAAACGCGCGATGCGATGGGCTATGGGCTAGGTTCGCTTCGCAGTTCTTCTTCTCCTGATGGGTTGGTTGGCTATGGTGGTGTACTGTAGTGTAGAGTAGAGGTGATTGCGATTTATGATCGACGGACGTATACCCACCCACTTGCTCACTTACTTACTTACTCCTTATTCACATGCTAACAGGCAGCCCAGTAACTAGTTACTTAGTACGCAGTTTGCGCGCTGCACGTAAGTAGTTATCCGCTCGCGTATCGAGCTCGGCAAAAATGCATGTGCTTAGATAGAGTAGACTAGATAAGAATCAGTATCTTGAATAGATCCGAAATCAAATCATATCTGCTAGTAAAGTAAAGTATTCTGCTCCGTGGTGCTGAGCCGTCATATTCGGAGCATTGTCGAAAGGGGGATTAGATCGATCGTAAGGGACGCGGGAGTGGCTATAGGCTAACAGGGGAGTTATCCAGAGTTCCAGACTAACTCAGGTCCCCGAGCACTTTTACTCTGTAGGGATGGAGCTAACAATAGGTCGGTCACGATAGTTAGAGAAGTGTCAAGTCCGCAATGTCTATTTTCGGGTAGACGAGGATACAATAACTCAACGCGGGAATGATAGACGTGGGGATTCGAACTCGCTCAGGGCGGCAATCAGGTCAGATTCATGCTGGAGTTCCCTCAGGGCTGAACCAATTCTTAGTAAGTGCTAGTCTCTGTAGATTCAAACGTTTGAGATCAGGGCGAGGAAAATTTTTTTCGGGCTTTGTTTTCTGCAGGCCGTACTATTGCAACGAGCTTCTCTATTTTTGGTTTCTGAAGATTGGTTCAGATGTTTTCTTTTTCTTGTTCGGGGGAGAAAAAGCGAGTAAACATCAAGGTTTGGTTGATCGTCACGGACCCGATAAAAAGGGGCACTAAGATTCGAAACTTCCCAATTCCCCGCAATTGAAGCTCCTTAGCAAGTGGATGGGGAGAAAGTGGTGCTATTGTCGACTATTTGACCCCGACGAAGGTTAACCTGGGAAACTTTTGGGGTCTGTGTGGATGGTTGTAACTATTGGCTTGTTTGTAGATTGAATGCTTGGGCCGAAAACTGGGGATGCTCTACCTCATTCCGCCTTGGTAACTAGAGCATTTCCAATGCTGAGATGGTCTTAGCCTGGAGCTTCGGATTGCGAATTATGCACTTAAGATATGAATGCTTAGCACATTAATGGATTCACCGAGAAGTCTGCTATTAGTTGGGACTTTGTGTGACCCAGATTACGAAGGCGCTATTTTCCGTTCAGACGCGAGCTATGCAGAACATTGGCAGGTTAGAGGAGCTTGAGATAGAGTCAATGGCTTGAATCACTGAACCTGCAGTAAGCAGTATAAGTGTTCAACAACCAGTCTCACATGCATTTGGAGCAAAGAGCTGCTATTCGCCATTTAGGAGCACAGTGGCACCTTATGCAGTACCTAGTCGCTAAGAAACCTGCAATTGATCTGACATTGTTTGTGCAGATTCAATGATTTGCTGTTCAAGCTTATCAACAGTCCGACCTCCCCAGTAAGTTTCTGCGGAACGGCGGGAAGCTGGCTAGAGCTCTGGATCCTAAGGTTTGAGAGTAGACAACTCGCCGAGGATAGTCGAGAGTCGGATAAAATCACCGCTGCAGCAAAGACGTTTAAACCGACGATACAACTCTATTGACTCAAGAGCGGTAGGAAACCGCGGATTCTTTGTTGTACGTAGCAACTGCGTACTAGAACTGTGGATATAGCTATGGAGGCTGTTCGCAACAGGGGTCAGGGAGACCTCATGGGGGAACATAAGCTTTTCCTTTCCACAGGCACATCCTGCTAACTTATATAGTGCTGTTAATCCTTTCAGATCTGTTTGCGTATGGTTTCGGGAGTACCTTCCATATGCTCCAAATCGTCTAGGGTGAGGCTCCAAATTGAACCGACGTCTCAGTGACCAAAGGAGTAAAACATGCGGCCTTTCCTTAGAACCCATTCAGAAGGGCATATATGAGCTCCTCTTGCGATTAGTGCTGCTAGTGGGATTGAAATAAGACACTGAGTTCCATAAGCAGAAGATCACAGCCGAGTCACACAAGACGAACAAGAAGAAATCGAGGATAGTTATGCAAGTCGCACGAAGAACCACGATCTTGTAGGGCACTTATGATGGAAGATTATCGGTTGAGCTTCATTGGTAGATGTCTCGCTCTGAGTGTATGAGGTCACGTCACCAGGTGCGCGTCTAAAACCTCAGCGTCCGGACACATCCGGTAAGTTGACGGTCGGGCGGATGGCGGCTTGGCCGATGATCTGCAAAATTGACTTTGACGGACAAGGAGCACTGAAGAGCTCTGGACGCTGTTCAGTTTCGGATTTCCCCTACTGCAGTTACTTCCATGATGGAGGAGCTAATAGAGCGGCACAGAATTAATTGCCCGAGAGTGTGTTGTGGTGTAGACCAGTTGTGTAGTTGACCCTAGTTCTGGTTACGGCCATGCCATGCTCAATAGGGGGTGACCTCTTAACAATGGCAACCATTCCACCAAAAAGGAGCCGGTACAATTCCCCATGGTCTACTTACCCAACTATGCTGATGCCAATCAACTTTGTTCCGATGGACTGGTAGGTTTGAACATCAACCTTCGATAAGGTGTCTTAACGGGGCGCTATTCCAGCAACTTTCCATGGAAACCTTGCAATGGCTTTGTCGATTATTGACGACGATCGAGTAGTACATGCATCCAAGATTTGAGATTGTGCGTTGAGGGTTGCATTTCTCTAGCGGAGACTGATGCCCTGTGCACGACTATTTGCCTCACAGCCATTAGCGGGATTGTCACGGGCGTCAACAGGGCCAAGGGATGGTACGTATGAATTAGAAATAAACAGACCCAATGACATACCAATTTCAGCCTGGAGGGTCGAGTTCTTGAGAGACCACTCTGTTCCTGCTTGGATCGAATTCACGAAGACTATTGAATCGGCACTTGGGGAACCCCACTACTATGGCGCTTGAGTATAACATTTGGTGAGCGGGATGACGATCAGCAGCAACTGCAATTCCTATTGGAAGAGACTTTCAAGGGACGGCTGAGCGGGCGAAGCGGCGATGGGAAGTAGTTCTTCACCAGTTCACTACTCTCCATCGATCGCGAGTGGCAGAACCCGTGGAGAAGCCCGAGCAGCAGCAGCCCCTTAATTTGAAACCATGACTGACTGGTTCCTGACGGAGTGCACGCGTCGGTCCAATCTCCGGTGCCGACGTCAGTGGCATACGACGTGTAGTAAAAGTCAATCAATTCATGACGGAGAAAATATGGTGGCAATGTTCTTATTTGCTTTTGACTTGGATGTAGGCAGAAGAAGAAATAGCTTGGTAACCAGAATAATAGTAATGAAGTGTGGCTGCGCTGGTTTCTTTGCCGCATTGCCCGAATTGTTCAAATCGAACCTGGGCGCACGTGTCCAGCCGCGTCTAAACCAGAAAGAGACGAAGGACTGCAGCGACTATTGACCTTTAGAATATCCCCTGGAATCCAAAGAAGACGGAAAGGAAAGACGGTCGAAGTTTACTGTACGAACGAGAGACGGCGCAAGGGGAGACCGAACTAGGATTAGATCCATGATGGTGGGATATCGGGGTTGTTCATCCCTGTTGGCCAACTCATACATACTTATTATCTTCAAGTACGAGAATGCGTTTCTCTTGCTGGAAGAAGCATTTTGCGAGGCACTGACTGACAGTTCTCATGCGTACAACTATAGAGCACACACATATTGGACCACCACCAGAAAAATGGTCTGATTTCGGAACAACTAATTTAGAAAAGAAAAACAAATCCACAAAAAATAAACAACTGCAAGACACGGACATTCCCACCCATCCTCCTCGAAATCTTGCCTTGACTTGAATGGGAATCGCTCGCCTCGGGCCACCAGCAGCCATTGAATCCACCTTGGAACCTCCTCCACTGGATGGGCCACTCAGAAACTCTCAGGAGCCGCTTTGCGATCTATGGACCCATGGTTGTGTGCCTGTCGATTCTTACTGCTATTGTAGGGTGCTAAGGTGCCACTACCGGCTTGCAATTGTCTGCTGACACGAATCTTAATTCTCTGGGCTAACGTAGGCAGCCTGTCGCCCGCCTCTTGCCCTCTCTCCTGATGATGGACCACCATGCCGGTTCTCGCCCGTCTGGAAGTATGACAACCGGGTCTCTCCTGGGCCCACGAGAATGGCTTTGTTCCCCATCGATTTTTCTGGTTCCAAGCAATTGGCGAATGAGCCTTCTATGGTCCTCGCGGATCTCTTCAACTCTGACCTGGCCCATGCTGAGTTTAGACTGTTTCTGGCGTCTTTGACTTTTGCCCCTTAAGCCGCGACCCTCCACGCTTTTTGAAATTCTTTCCCCCCCATCATCTGTCCGCTCACATGTAATGAAATCGCGGCCACTTATATATAGTACCTAATAGGTCTCTCGGCTCGCACGGCCGGTTCTTCTTTGATTCTGGTCAATTCCCCTGCAATATCTGTTACATCATTCACAAGCTCCTCGGGGACCCTCTTTTTTAATCCTGCGAGCTGCTACTACTATTAAGCCAGGTCATATTTCACTCGTTCCGCCGGACCTGCATACTAGTCCCTCTTTTCCCAATTTCCCTTTTACTCTTTCTTCTAGACCTCTTTTTATTTCTCCGTGACTCGCCTGATCCGTCTCTCCAGTTCCTGCTTGGTACTTTGACTCGCTCCTCAAAAGAACGCCAATTCCCTGGAGATTTTATTTTTTTTGACCGCTTCTTCAATTTCGAATTTGGCGTGTCTTGTGGCGCTCCGAAACGAGGATCTTTAGTGACCGAAACGGTAAACATACGGGCTTGGGGGTACTCACCGACTTGGGGTGGGGAATATTGAAAGACACCTCCGGCTTTCTACCAAACCTCCTGAATCCTCCGACCTAAAGACGTCGGGATCAATTGTTTATTTCGATTCAAAGAACTCCTGCTCTTTTTTGACATTCACCACTTCTTGCTATCTGGTTATAGCTCGATTTTTGGAGAAGAGACATCGGGATTGTAGCCCGCAGTGTCGACGTGGGTCACGCCCATACTAAACTTATTAATGCCCCAGCAGTCCATACCTATCCCACCAAGGACTTCCAGCATGCATGCCTCTAAAAGTGGAGTGCGTTCACCCGCAGCCAGCCCGGGAGATTCGAGGAATGAGAACACATCAAAGGCCTACAAAATCCTCGGCACAACAGATGCCTCTGTCCACGAGACTCATTCTAAGCGTGAAGACAAACGACGCTCGAGACGACCAAGCTTCATGAGAGCTCCGGAGATCAAATCGCAGAAGAGTGGTGGTTTTGTTCCCTTCCCGACTGCTGCTCCAGAGACCACTATTCCCCCACAACACCTCCGTGTTCGGGCATCATCACCCCTGCTGGGCCATGAGTTTCGCCCAAATGATGCTCCTGGACAGCCGATGCCAGCATCGACAAAGAAAATCCACCAGTCAGGTTCAGCCTCCGCCCTATTCTCCTACTTCAGTTCTCGGGATTCGTCAGCCAATACAATTCCTGGCATTGGAGTCGCGACATCCGACTTCGGGCCTGCAGCTGAAGGTAAACCAGAGTCACGGCAAAGCGCCGAGTCTGGTTCTAGCCTCAGGCAACCGAAAGGCCCGATGAAAGACTCAAAGCGTAAAATGCGCCCACCCCGGATCGACCTCTCCCTACTGTTTCCCAAGCCCAAGGCAACCGCTGAGCCACTCCTGTCGCCGCAACGCTTGGTGGCCTCTCCCTCTGCTATCTCCATAGTTTCTGAGCATCCGGTCACCAAGGCAAAAAACATTGAGGACCATGCAGCTGGCACTAAGCTCGCAAAGACGCCACCTCACCTGGTAAAGACGACCGACCAAACCTACGGCGGTCGGGCTCCTGAGGCATCATCCTACGAGACTAAGACGTCGAACTGGCTTGATCCGTCCTTGGAGAGGACCGTGCGGGCCAGTGAGATGGACTTAGCCTTGCAGAAACTGCAGCAAGATTCTCGGCGCAATACCAAGGGTCGCTCTAACCGCTCACAGTCGCGATCCCAAGGCCAAGATAAACGGCGAACCGGTGATTCTCGCGCCCCGGATGATAACTTGTGGAAGGTTACCTCAAACAGTTCTGGCAGTGAGTGGAGCAAGGAGACCTACTTATCTCCTAAAGCTCGTTCTCGCCAAAGCTCACATCGTGTTTCAAATCACTCCGAACCCAGGAGACCAAATTTGCATGCGTCTGCTGCATTGGAGAAGTGCTCGGTGCCAAAGAAGAGTAGTCGAACTACACTGAAGACTGCGGACTTGAATAGCTCCAGCGTGCTTTGCCTCTCCTCTTCGGAGGATGAAGATGATGACGAGGACCTCAACAGCGATCGACTAAACAGAGATCGAAATGCTAGAGATAGCGTTGCAACCTACGGCGAATTCGAAGCCGAGATATGTACAGCATCGGCGGCACAAGCGACAAAGGGCACATTACGGAGCATTGATCAGCCGATGTCCGTCACTAGCCGTGGATCGCGCCCATCACAGAGGCTTCAATCCGCTCGTCGGGACGTGTCTCAGTCCTCAGCCGAGAGGTCATCATATATGGCCAGCTGTCAATCTCGTCGATCCAGCGATATACCCACGATCTCTGAGCCGGAATTCTTCCACGGAGATCTGATATTCAATCATCAGAGACAGAGCCAGCTCAGAAAGCCCCCCTCTGCCTCTCAGAAGGAGACTAATAGAAGAAGCCGAGTCATCGCGGTGACGAGACAGGAGGAGCATCTCCTCGAGGCAATGCGACAAAGGAAGGGGAAGATTACGCCCAGTATCTTCCAGGAGAGCCGATTTAACAGTAGCTTGGAGCCCGACCAAGGTTCCATGCTGTCTGTTCCTTCGCGGGATTCGTTTTATGGATCAGACATGTCCTTTTTACGCCTAAGCCCTGCTTTCCCTCCTAAATCGGTCCAAGCCAATGCGAGTCGCAATGAAAGGGAAGGCTCCGTTTGTCAGAGCACTTTTTCCGACGAGGAGCAGAGGACCATCAACTCATTCCCTTCTCCCCGTGCTAGCTTGGCTTTCTCCGAGGGTCTTTCGTCTCCATCGACCAGCGCAGCCTCGCCGTTGACACCGACGCTCCCCATCCACCGCTTCTCCCCCATACCGTCTCAAGGGCCACCACCCCGTCGTCCTATTCCCGCTGTGCCGCAAGACAAGAGGCGGCACTCACGGCGGCGTACAGATAGCAGCGAGGCAATTGTCCTGGAAGAGCCCGAGGAGCCGAAGCAAAGGGGTGAACTTCCCATGTGGACATTGCGGTGGAATAACGACAATGGAACTATGACGGCTGTACATTGAACATGATGTTGCTTGTTGCAAGATGCTCGCAGTCATGATACCCACTCATTTTACTTTTTTTGAACTTTGATGACATGTTTTACTCAACCTTTACAATACCTACCTTCGCCTGCACACTCACTCACCCATTTCTATACCTGTGACTCAACATACACTCTTTGGTTTTTCTTATTTACGTTCTCCTTTTCGAATCGATCAAGCGAAATACGGCCAGATGGCATCTATTTTGGGAATTTTTTATTACTCATGTTTGGTTGGTTATGGCTACTTATGCTATACGGCAAAAGACATTTTGTAAATAGACGACCTAGACTTGAGGGGGCTACTATCGGACATTGTCCACATAATTGAACCATCTATGCTGATAACTCTACTGTAGAGCTTACTTGCCCGTATTTAAGGACCTGCTGCATTATACGTGATCATAAGACCTGGGACCTTCTGTGTATTGCCCACACTCTTTCAGACGTTTTTCTCGCAAGGTGTATGTCGAGTAGAGTTCCAGAAGGCCTAATATAGTAAGGATAATGGTTGGGGAATGGTTCGAACCACCGACATGCGGGAAGAAGCAAAACAGTTACCCAACGGAAGGTGTCAGTCAGATGACATAGTAAGCTATCGCAAGGAGAGTTGCAGTTGCGACGATCTCCCTTCTACTAAATATCATGGCGGTGAAAATGGCCACCCTGTATAGTCTCACTTTCTTCCTTCCCTCTCTAGATAGTTAAGAGCGTTCAACACGGGAAGTAATGTCGATGTATATGTGTTGTGTCAATCGTTCGTCTCTACGATGGCCAAGGCCCACCCTACGGGCTTCGAGAATCGGCTCCTGTAAGATTATCATACCTTGCCTAATTCGAAGCATCAGTGAAGGATTGCTGTTAGGCCCCCAAATTCCTCCGGTCCGAGCCGCATGGATTGGGCTGTAATGACCCCGGTGAGAGGAATGCTAATGATGGTCCCAACCGACGACATAATCTCACGTCGAGGCCTCACCGGCCGTGCGTTGCGAGTATAGAGGGGGACTGGAACTTTGGTACACAAACCAAGGTTCTGAGTTCTGCCAAGAAACATCCGTTCGACTGGGTCTGGCCCTCGCTTTGTGAGTATTGTGTGAGTAGCTAGGCCGTCGGCTTTGATTCCCGTCAAAAGACCAAGCCTTGTAACGTGATAAGATTTACTGCAGATCATGCATGTTTACTATTATTGATATCACGGTGATATTAGCTGACTGCAATACCGTGTGTTGCCGATCGGACCTTACCAAATAGTATCATGGCACGTTGATGATGAGCGGAACGTAGCGTAATCTGCAGCTTGCGCGCTTTGTTGTGGGTACAAAGGGCAGATATTCCGTCAGCTGGATCTGCGCAGTGCAGTGACGAGGTCGATCGAGGCATGTATGTCTTAACCTGACGTCAGATGCGATCCTCAGGGGGGCAGTTCTGGGCGAAAGTCGAAGCACTTGTTCTGGGACCGAATTTAATGTATGGCTGGGAGGAACCAAAAGTGCCCATCCGAACAAGCAAAGGGACTAGACCGCCACCTGCCCCGTGATCCACACCGCCCAAACAAGCGTCTCAAGAATACCCCGGATCCCTCATATTTTAGTCCATTCGCTCCCTCATTATTCTGGTTCTCCCCCCGTTTGCGCTCAGTTTTCGACCTCCATTGAGGCCTTTTATCCTCGAGAGCTCTGTTCTCGAGCTCTCCGATCCTTGATATACTCCGCCGCGACCGTGTCGGTTTCCTTTGTGTCGGTCTAGTTCGCTTGCAAATTCCTCGTCAAGCGTGAAGACACCCCTCTCCCACCACGACCACGCGCCCAATTTGTATGCGACATCCTCGGTAATCGAGTGCGGAGTTCCTGTCCGTTCGCCGCCCGACAATTTCCACTGCTTCTTATAACTCAACCTGCTCGTTACCTTCAAAAGAATCGCCAGTTTAGTTAAGGGGAAGACAAATATCATCAGTATGGGGGAG